ATATATATATATATATAGAAGACATTTAAGTTGACCTCCTTCAGAGACAGTATGGAAGACATAACAAAAAAGGTGTCTGGATTCTAAGTCTATTTTTACTTTGGGTGTTAATTTGGTGGTCATTTTCTACACTGAGTAGATTAGATATCAACAGCCTCTTCACCTGATTTCACACATTTCACTGAAGATTAGGTTATAAGGGATACATACAGAGTAAAGAGCAGCTGAGTATGATTATTATTCTGCAGTGTTTTTATACACATATTTATACTGATATTATAATACCCGACATACACTCCAGGGATCACTAAAATAAGAAATAATAAAGATTCAGAAACAATAAAGATGATTAAAGCACAGCATTCAACTATATTTGTACTTTTTTTATTCAACAAGAAAAAACAGTGTTCAAAAAATATAACAGAGATGGCAGATAATTTAAAACAAGACATCTGGTGTAAAAAGACCACCCTTTTTAGCAGGGTCTCAATACTGTATCATACTGTAAAATGTCATCAAATCAGACACAACACATTTAATTGAACTTACAATACAGTAGGCCTACAGTGCCAGTTTCCTGTCTGGCCATGGAAATGGTCTCTGACAATCCCAACAGGTGTCCCCAAGATGTTCAGACACTTTATAATACTTAAAGATGCAACACATTATGCAGTAATAAATAAAAAGACATGATATAACAGAGGTCATTACCATGTTTTTAAATGAATTCTCTAGAAGCATAACAGAGCCAGAGGTCAAATGTTGATATTCAGCTGACTTATATTCTTCAACCAAAAGCATGTGTCCTGCAGTGAGATGATGTTCACATGAAATCATTTGCTAAACTTTAACTGCTTTTCTGCTGTGATCCCATCAATAGTCCTTAAAAATGTACAAATATTTTAGCATGCAGCTCACAATGTCAACTTTTATACTTTACACCTTGACCCATTTCTTTTGTAATCAAATGCTGGTTCATTTGTTTTCAAGTGTTTTTTGCCATTGCCATGTCATATCAGACGTAGAAATCAGAACATTAATTTAAAGAAAAGTAGGAATTCATCACATAAGAGGTTAATAATTTTCTCCCAGTGGAAAAAAAAATACATATGTTTCTTTATAAAAATATTATAAAAATATTATGAAGTATAAGGGCAAATGCAGAACACAATGGCTAAATCAAATCTGACTTGTTTATAGTGAAGTATAGTAATTTATAGTGATTTAAAGTCTCTCTATATTTCACCACTACAACATCTTACAATATTTCTACTCACTGTCCCACAGTTGTGTTACAACACTGTAGGTTTCTTGTATTATTGTGTAATTGTTTCTGACTGAAGAGCGAAGAGGCACAGTGGTGAACACAGGAGGCACCGTGGTCATCTGCACAGGATTTATAACAAGTGCAGTTGAATATTTGGTCAAGGACAAAGGTTTGGTTTATTTATTAGGCCAAACCAGCAGTGCATAATCACAGCCCTGAAGTGTTTTTATGATGGATCTTGTATTTGTTTGGTGTTATTATTTCATATAAATTTGTCTCCTTTGTGCTCTTTTTATTTTCTGTACACAGTTTGTGAAAGGTGCTGAACAGATCAAGTTAATTAAGTGCACAATAACACATATTAGAACTCTGTTGCTAAGCTAACACTGGTCTCCCACATTACAAAAAGTCAAACTTGCTCATGTTTTATACAATTACAAACTCCCCTGACCCTCCTGGTACACTGTAGACACTGTAGAGTCCCGTTACTAAAACTATCTCGTGCAGGACATCACGTATTTACCATTTAATGTACCTCAGCTATTTCACACCAAAGTGCCAACTAGTAACTTTTTCATCCATATTCATTTCAGGAATTAAATGTTATATTGTTTTGTAACAGTGAACTTTAGCACACATCACAAAGCTCTGCACACATTTGGCTTAATCAAAAAAAAAAAAAAAAAAGCTTAAGTTAAACAAAATAAAAACATTCTGAACCAAAATAAAGATCCACTAAAACTACAAACAAGACAAAGTAGCATTTATGGAAAATAGAGAGAAGAATTAAATAAAAATAATAGAAGATAACCAATTATTATTCTGTGTGAGAGAACTGATTAATATGATGCACTGATCACTTGTATTAAAAACCTCTACTGTAAATTTGTAACCTCAATTTTATAAATTAATTAAAAGTGAATGTATACATGTGCTGAACATACACACGCAGCTTAATGTTTCTGTCTGCTGCCACAGTGTCTTTCTACCACCAAGAACTACTGAAATAAGGAAATTTATTCAATAATAAGCTTTACTTGACTTTAATGATTTATACTTAGCAGACATTTTAAAGTCTTCAGAAGACTTGGAAATAGAAAGGACCTTACCTCCAAGAAGAGAAACTCCCAAAATGTCAAATAGACTGTAACTGTACATAAAATGACATAAAACTGTCATTCTTTATAGTATAAAACACAGGGACAAGTGAGACTAATCACACAAACAACACCTTGTATGTTTTTTAAGTGCTATGTTCTTATTCAATATATTAATTATAAGAATTTATCAGTCTAATATCAACATCAAGATCAATGTTTTTATAAAATATAATAAAGCATCATCACGCTCACAGTTTTGGTGCCTTCTTGTTCTCACTCTGTGGGGACGTCTAACAATGACAAAATCTGATTTATTTTAATGTCATGTCATGTCTAAACCACAAGTTGAAGGTTAAAAAGAAATCTAATTGAAACACAGGACTGTCTAATCTGCAGCCTAGTGGCCATAATAAAGGTCGACAGCATCTTTAGTGCAACACTGGCTGAAACAGCAAACTGTGTCTCTCTCACTTTCATCACTGTAGTGTCTGAATGGCAACTATTTCTCTCCACTTGAACTGAAGTCATTGTTTTATTCACTTGTAGTGGTCCAGTTCTTTGGAGCCCAGATATTTAACCATTATTTGCATAAACATTATTTAGCTGAGGTTGTTGAGACGTTTGTGATGAAGAGCATCCATCGTTGTTTCGAACAGGAGTGGACATCTGTGGGCGCTTTACACTGTGTGCTGTAAGGACACTTCAAAATAACACGTCAGGCACAGAGAGGTGAAGACGAAAAACACATACTGGCCGGTATTCAGTGGTCCCATGCTTCAGGTCGCCAGGTCGTCCTCGCCACAGTTCACTGTGTGTCCTCCTATCTCTCTACCAGATTATCAGTGTCCATGTCACTCAGTAAGTAAATGTCTGTGTGCCGAGAGAATCCCATTTGTGTCTGAAAGAGAGAGCAGAGACGGAGGTTTTATCAAAGGGGGAGTGTTTTATACAGTTAACTCATCACATAAATCAGCATAGCTTTATTTTATTGTTCATGAAGACAAACTGGATTATAAAATAATTTCGTCATGATTTGCATTGTTCAAGTTTTCACAGAAAATCATTATCAATTATATAATTAATAAAATACTCCAAACAACAACCCACACAGCTTCTTGCTAGTCACACACATTGAGCTCTTATGACCTGTGAAAGCATCTGTGTTACTGCAGCTCATCTTATATTACTCCACATTAACTTCCTTTTATGAACCCAGAGACTGCAGATACACAGAGTTTAAAGTGTTAGGGGTTTACTGTAGTAGAACTTAGAAAAGATATGGAAAATAAAGCATAATGTTTACTAATAAGAGGAATCACAATCAATGCTGTTTTGATCAGTGGTAAATGGGGTCAATTTGAAGGTGATTGTTTAATAATTGCAGATTCATTAAGGGTGCTCACCTTTCCTCATTTAATCCTGGAAAGTCCTGCAAAAGAGCATTTCTATTGCCTACAATGATGTTCTATCATCCCTCCTTATATTAAATGTGAAAAATTAAACTTTAATCTGGGAAGAGGGATGTATTTTTAAACCCCTTAAACACATCTTGTATAGTTTACATTATTCTCACAGATCAATTTAACAGTTTATACTGATGATGCTACACAGTAAGTGGAAAAGTCTCTATGTACTTAGCAGGTGGTACAGCAAGGTAAGTTATACCTACTGCACAAACATCATGTCATAAAACAGGAATCATAACATTAACATTATAATCAGAGAAAACCTCCAGTTTAAAGATTATTCTCTAGTCTTTTCTCAGAGACTGATATCTTTGTTTTTTCAAATGAGGCTTGATTACATCCCAATATTTTATATTATTAATATTTCTCTACTTCAGACAGAAGACGCCGACAAATGTCCATATATCCATTATTTCCCATTTATTTTGAACACATGGTGTGCTTTATCCAGGAGCAAGGACAGACACTTAATCATTCAACCCCAAAGAGCAGAAATGAGTGATAACTTCAGTGTACACATTACTACATTGAAGTTTTCTCTGTAACAGTTCAAATATGCATTTGCCATGTTTCCTTTAACCAGAGAGGTATTAATATGATACTATATAAACTCACAGTAGCCTGAAAAGTGTCAAGTTTCTTTAACCCTTTAAAACCTTGAGAAACTTTATGAAAGCTTTTGAGAACTTTGAACCAAAGACCTTCAGCTGAACCTGATCCCCCACAATAAAGTGAACATTTAAAACAACCTGAGATCTTTACTGTGATCACTGTATGCTCTTATTGGTTAATACACACATCATGCTTGGATATTGCTCAGTTAGCTGCTTTAGTACAGTGTACACAGTCTAATGTTAAACTAGCCCGTCTTCACTGATCTTGAAAGTTGAACGTGACAGCGATGCTGCCTTTTACAGTCACATCAGGACAGCTGTTGTGACTGTTGTTTCCATTATAATTTCAAACTGCTGCTGCTCATGTTGTGAGTCTGAGAGGAAATGATGGCACTTAACTTATATTAAATATGAATAATTCATAATCCTTAAAGTTTTCATTCTCGTTGCATTGGTTTATTTAATATGTCTGTTGTTTTAGTAAAACTAAGCTATATATTCATCTTTATGTCGACCTGCGAGCAGGTCTGAAGCCCAGCGGACTTGTGTTAAAAATCTACAGTAAATATTGATAGTAATTTTATTTTTAGCAGAAAAGAAACAGACATACATTGAATACAATGTTTGTGAAGGGGTAACAACATTTGTGAAGGCAAACAGAACAAATGTTTTCATTCTCATTAGGGAGTCTAAAATGAGTCAGTGCAGAGCACCGGACACGCTGTAGCTTAATTAACAGATGCAGCACACCAGAATAAGCATAAACATTGGCCACATGAATCTGACCCAACTGGGTTTTATTCTGAGCTGCACTCTTGGACTTTAACTCACAAAATCACTGCCTTCGGGGTCTAAAGATAGACTGTAGACTGTAAAGCTCTCTGAAACAAACTTGTGATTTTGGGCTATATAAATAAACTTCCTCTGTACTTGTTTTGACTTTTGTTTCCAGTTCTCCTTTAAATACAGCTGTCATGAAAACTCTAACAATTATGAATATAAAATTGTGTTTAAGCTACCACATATTCAGTTGCCTTCCTTCTCTGCATAGCAGTATAAATAAAATCAAAGTTTTCTTTCACATGTATTGTAATATAAATATTACATATTTATATTCTAATACATGTCTATCAGCCCTATCTCCCAAGCTTTTACCACAAACAGTAGTGAATTAAAACGTGGAGTAGAGGATTTATCCTGGTATCACAAGTAAAAACACCTAAACTCTCTCAGTTAAGAAGAAATGAAACAAGCCTTTCACAGTGCTAAAAATGTATTTTCTTTTCATACTTACATACATCAACATAGTATGTTGATTAATCCTTATTATTTAGGCACTAAAACAGGCTCTGAGGATCAAGCTGCAGTCTTATAAACATTACTTGTTTGAAAGGAGCAGTTTGCATCAGGCTGCACGCACATCACAATACAATAAATCATAAGTAAAATATTAAAAAAGGTACCATTCAGTAAAACTGTCAACTGATTTCTATGTAATTAACTTCATGAACCAGTTGGGTCACGTTAAAACACCAGTTTGGTAAATGACCAGGTGGACTAACAGCCTTTGTCAGACAATATTGATCCTCCATTCAAGCCAGTTGTCAGTTAAATATGATTTTACAATCCAAGACTCATACTAAAAAAAAACATCCTTCATTCACAGACTTGGTTGTGTTGAACAGACGTCCACTCTGGACTTTTTGGACAAATTAAGTATTATGCACCATTTATGCATGATACTGAAACTTGCCACTTTAGCATCAAAAACGTCATTCCCAATAGTTTTATCACACATTTTATCACACCAGGGCTGGATATCATTTGGTGATTTTTGGTACAGATATTAGGATTAAGATAACGTCCTTGTGAATTATGTCACAATGATATTCTCTTAAAAAAAATAATTGTTATTTGAAATGTTAGTTATGAAAATCCAGTGAATCAAACTGCTTGAACACGAAGATGAGAGAATAGAGGACGATGAGGTAGACCGAGTGGAAATCAGAATAAGCAGCTCCTCCTTCCATCAGGATGCTGGGAGGTTGACATTATCAAGGTAAGGGAGCTCACAGAGAGCAGAGTGTGCGTTGGCTAGCTTTAGTACATCTCTTAGGGAAAATGGAAAATTAAATAAAGATTAAAACAATCACTAGTTCAGGTAGACTGTTACTTAACAGAAACAACGGCAAAAATAAGTGAGGAGAAAGAACCGGCTTTACCAGCCTTGCCAATATCGGCTTGAGAAACTGCCATTGTTGTGAGATCATTCATATAATGTGTCTGTTATGTTGTATTTGTGATTTTTGTGAATTCTTTTAAATGAAAAAAATATTGATAGTTTGAAAAGTTATTTTTATATATGTTATATTGTGGCAATTCTGTACTTTTGAGGTTATTTAATCCTAATTAAAAACAAAAACGTCAAGATTCTTTTAAAGAAGGTGCAGCAATGTAGCCCCACACATTGTGGCTACTACTGTAGTTTATATAAACCAACATAAATACATAAAAATACAAGCTGAGATGCTATGTTTTAGTCTAGTCTGTTTTTTTAAGTCTAGCTTACATTTTATAAAAATGATGGAAAATCTTATTTTACATAACAGATACTTGGTTTAATCATCAGCATAGTAAATATTCAGTATGTTGGTAGGAGGACGGTATCAATTATTCATTTGACAACTGATTTTCTGATTTTCTGATTGCTGGTGTAGTATTAATTTGATTCACTGGGTACATAAAAAGCACCAAACTCTGAGACCCAGCCCTACAAAGAGAAACATGTGACATTAGCAGAAAATGTGCTCTCAAGATCATATATGATCTAGAAGAGTCCTGGCTGTGTACAGGGCTCAGTGTCTCCAAGAGGAAAGAGGAATGCTGGTGGTTACTGTCCTGTTCAGCTCTAGGAGTCGTACTCAGACGGCTCCTCTATGAACACAGCAGGTCGATTGCTTACCCTGCTGCCAAAGTCCAGGCAAGAAACTCCCAAAGCAACCAAACAGTGCCATACCTGCAGACAACGACGAAGGAGAGACCAGTCAAGACACTCATTGATGAAATGTATTTTTGTTTCACTAAAAACAAAGGATCTTTTTCACAGCATCCAGTTTGACGTGACATAGTAGGGTAAAGACAGGTGTGACTGATGACACTAATTAAGGTTCTGTTTTATACAGGTCAAACAGAGTCAGGTTGCTGCTATTGTGCATGTTGGCTCACTGGAAGATACTGCGACACTAAATGGAACAGAGCCCTAATTATTATCATTGGTAACACCTGTGTTTATAATGTTTAAAATGGCTGCTGCTGTGTCTATGGAGAGACACAAAAGTTCTTTTCATTTGAAAAACAGAAATTTCACATATATTTCTATTGTAAATTTCTATTTTATATTTCTGATTCTTGACTTTTGACGGACTTGTTTTCTCTTTTCTCTTTCACAATGTTTATTGTGACCTCTATTCACCAAAATACCTACGCAAATCCCTCGTATGTGAAAATTCACTTGGTAATTATCTGATTTTGAATGTCATTTTCAAAACTAAACCAAAGTTTACTCAAACATTGAAACCCTTAAAAAATATATATATTTAATGCATTTGTCAGGAAAACTGACCTATAAATCACAATAAATAAAACATTATTTTAGTAATTACACTGGTAAGTAAAGTACTTAGACATCGGATCATAATGTGGCAGTAATCGAACTCACCAGGTAGCCCACAAAGCACAGATAGGCAATGGAGAACAGAGCAGCAAGCACGTAGAGCAGCACACTGTTCAGTGCTGTGACGTAAACCACAACAAAGTACATGTTGATTGCACAAACCACCAGGGTGACGACGCCTCCAGAAATCTTCCACACCCTACAGGAACAGGCAGTTTATTAGACCATTGAGAAATAATGAACTATCCCGGAAACACATTTCTCTAATAGTCTAACAGAGTGGATTCCTAGTTTGCGTAACTTTCCTGTCCAAAAACAAAGTGACTGCCTTGGATTTTTTTAAATAAACAACATCAAGCTACATTATCTGTTGGTCTGTCGGAAAAGGAGGAACATTCAGTAAACAGACGACCTTGCACCAACAAGCTGCATTTGATTTGTCAGTGAATAACTAAAGTCCTCCAACACACATCTTTCATCAACTTGCTGTCATACTGAAAGAGATCAGGCCTTTTACTTCCTCAGTTTTAAGTTGAAGAGTCAGGATTCTGTCTGTTTGATTCACATTTGGCTAAAAAAAGCAAACGCCTTTCTGCTGGTGGACGTAGCTCAGCGTAAATTGCCTGCATTTTAAGTCATCTTGCAGTGAAAGCAGAAGCTGTGGCTTTGAGGACTGAAAGCTAATGAAAGTGTGTTCTTTTTTTTTGACGTGTGCTAATTCTTTGTTTCAGACAGAAACTGACAGGAGTGAAAGCCTCACTGATTCAGGTAATTATCCTGTCAATAAACAATGTAATACAAATAAGACACCAACAAATACACTGTGTGTCCCAGAGGAACAATACATTTCTACAGAGAGAAGAATTTAATGATAAAAAAAAAAAAAGGTATAATTTTCACTCACAATCCGTTTGCAAAGTCGTTCATTATGGATGTCAGACTGGTGAAGGTCAGAATTGGTATCAAAGCAAACGGAAGCTATTGAACACAAAGAAAATCATACAGATTATTTCACAGGATTATAATCTACACAACAGGAACAGTAAAATAAGGACATGTATTATTATAATTAATTATGAGTGCTTTCTTAAATGATTCGTCCTGACCTGCATGCTTTGAAGCACGTTGAGGAAGTCGTTCATCCCTGTCAGATGCTGAACATCCTGAAAAATGGCTACCAGCAGTGTTGGCGTGATGGCGATGGAGCGGGTCAGCAGCACCCGAGCAAAACGGGACCACCGTAGGTTTAGGAAACCCTTCATGAACATGATAGTAAAAACATGAGCATGCACATTTATCTTTGTTTTTTGTTTGTTTGACCCACTTATATAAAACCAGTAGGCATTCTCACCTCCATAACAAACTGCCCCGAGTAAGTGCCTGTCATGGTGGAACTCTGTCCAGCTGCCAGGATCCCTATTGCCCAGATGTAGAGGGCTGCAGGGCCAAAGACACAGCCCAGAACCACTCCCTGAACAAACCAACAAACCAACAGAGAAATAAATCATCTGTAATCTATCCATCCCTTAAAAGAGACTCAGAGATGATTATTTAATAACGTAGAGTTGGTCATGACTCTTTATTGACATATAGAGGAAAGAAAAAAGTTGAATTTAAGTTTAAATCTAAGTTTTGTTTCTTCATACTTTGGTGCAATGAGTTCTTTAAAGCTTCTGCACACTTATGATGCACTCACACAGGCAGCTTCAGTTTATCTGCCTGATTAAACTTTTTCTCAGGACTGAGGGTTTTTTTGACACATCATAGCAGGAAACACACAGGCGTAACTAACAATATCAATAACAACTGAATTTCCTTTAAGTGTTTTAAGTATGGGTAGTTTCCCCATGTACTCTATTAATTATATTTTGACACAATGTGTATCAACTAGACAGCCATAAATAATAGAATTAGTGTGCAGAATGAAAATGGGACAGAGCTATTAAGTGTGATGATGTTGTGCAATTCCCAGCATGTCTTTGCCCATTTTCAGCCTGAGCGGACGTTTAATCGGCCAGAATAACTGAAAATACCTGCGTGGGTGCACAGAGCCTTTAAATAGAAACTTTTTTGCTAACAAACAGTAAATATAGGCTGGCAATGTGTCTGTCTTCTTCTCCTTCCTCTTATTATTATATTTTTATTATATCTTTCTAATAGATAATTACTATAAAATGTAATTAATCTGCTCAATCAACTCAATCATCTCTCCCTCATTATATAAGCATCTTAAATGTCTTAGCAACAATTCCACAGTGAGGACTTATTGTTGTAATGATGACCAGACGTACCCCTTTGTAGATGTCCACCTCCAGTGTGTTGTTGTTTTGTGGGAAAAGATCTGAATGAGGGCTGCCAGTTTTATTGCAAAATTCATGCTGCAACCAGGGACACAAACACATGATGAGCACCAGGTAGAGGCTCTGGACACTGTGTGTTATCATTAATATCATTAAATCTCACTGTAATACTGTATACCTACCACTTCCATATTGGTTTTATTGTAAAAGGCCTCAGCAAAGACCGCTACGACAAAGACGTTGATGAGGAAGGAGATGAAGAGAGCAATAGTTGACTCAATGAAGTAGTACTTGTTGGCTTCCTTTACTTCCTTCTTATTTTTCCGATCGATGTCTCGAGACTGTTACATGAGGAGATAAACAGAATTACACTCAACTTTCATCAAACACAAGAGATCTACTTTAAGAATACTTTAAAATAGCATAATGCTAAGCTTATGGTATAGCTTATAGTATAGCTTATACTGTGTGTCAAACAGTGACAAATATGCAATAATCAACTGTGACTTTTCAAAACTGTGTAAGAAATATGACAGAGAGACAACTGTTATATAAAGAAAAACCTATTAGGAAACTCTCATTTCACCATGTTGACTGTAGGTTTTACTTTTTAAGTATTGATTATCCACATGTGACAACAAATATGCGTCTAACCTTGACCAGCGCTGAGTGCAAGTAGATGTTGTGGGGCATGATGACAGCGCCTACGATGCCCACTGCCTGCTCCAGCTGCACAGGCCCACAGCCGGCGCAGTAAGGTAAGAACATCCCCTTCAGAAGTTCCCCTTGATCTGGCTTTACCAGCACATACTACAGGCAAAACAGAATCAAACGTGTCATGGTTAACATCTTGGCTAAAACTCAACAAACACTTTAATTGTTCTGGAAATTATAAGGGACTTTTACCTCGTAACCGAAGCTAAGAGCCATTACAGTGATGAGAAATCCAAAGAAAGCTTCAAGTTTCCTCAGGCCTACAAGGAGATACAAACTGTATCAACACACATGCACAGCTTCTTAGACAATGATTGATAAGTAAGTGATGGTAGATGTGTACCGTATTTGTCTAGAAAGAGGAACACGAAAGTGTCTGTGATGGTGATGAGGACTCCTCCCCACAGCGGAATCCTGGAGGAGAAAAACAAGAAAACTCAATAATTCACTGTAACAGAAAATATACTACAAAAAAATCACTTTTAATGGACAAGCAGTAAGGGAGGTACCTTCCCACAGAGAGAAGGTTGAGAGCAATGGCACAGCCAATGACCTCCTGCATGTCTGAGCCAATAATTGCCAGTTCCACCATCAGCCAAAGGATGACCCGAGGAACCTGGAAAATAAAAACACCAAAGATATAACCAGAGAGTAAAGCATCTTCTCATCCAGCTGTAGTTCATTAACAATATTTAAGAATATGAGATCAAAAAATGCAGTACTCTTTTTATATTTTTGACAAATATTGTCCCATGCGTTAAAAGTTAATGTACATCAAGAGTGTAATGAGAGTGGGGAGCGCTCACTGTGGGATATTGGCGGTTGCAGACTTCAGCCAGGTGCATCCCAGTGACGACCCCAAGGCGTGCAGCTAACCTCTGCAACAGCAGCCCAATGATGGTGGCCACAAGTAGCACCCACAGGAGCTGAGAAAGAAAGACAAAAATCAGCAAAAGTCGCTGCTTCCTATACGGGAGCCAAATGACATAATAGCTGCCTGTCTCTCGCTCGTGCTCATTTTGGACACTGTGATGTGTTTGGGTGAAGAGAACAAAAACCTGTGGAATCACTTCCTCAAATATGGAGTAAACAAATAAAATAAATACATTTAAAAAAGCTAAAAAATAGATTCCAGTCAAGATGAAAACTGTATTATGGTTCACATTTTGTCTGAAATACACACACATAACCCAGCAAAGCAAACCGCTAGGTCATGGCAGAGCAAACGGATTAGATTTACATGAGTTTATATCTCACCTTAAAGCCTGCTTTAGCTCCAGACTGCAGGTCAGACTCGATGTTTCCTGGATCCAAGTAAGCAATGCTCATCAAAAACCCTGGTCCAGTGAAGGCCCAGAGTTTTCGAAAACTGAATACCTAAAATGGACGGCAGAAAAGTATAATTATTACTGATGTAGTTTGAATATAATGAAACAGTTTTGTTACAGTTAAAATATGTTTTGCTTCCCAAAATCTTAAAAATTCTAATAAACTGTCCAACAAGGGTAAATAATGTTATAATCACAGGATACATTCAGGACATCATTACATCTTGGCTGTGAGTACCTGGTTGACACTTTCGGGAATGGCCACCTTGTCTTCAAAGTATGTAGAAAAAGGTTCCTCCTGGGCCACAGGTGAGGCTGGAGGAGAGATGGAGCTGTACTGGTTTGTCTGGACTCCATTGTCCTGAGGAGAGTCCTCTAACAAAACCACAGAGAAGAAGAAAAACGGAGGGACTCTGATTAGAGAGGAGAGCAAGACGAACAGACGAAGAAAGTTACTTGTTAGACCTCATTTTTGTGGTTCCTTCTGAACTACTGAGATTTGGGGATGTGGTGTAATCACTACACGATGCACTTGTTGGCTTATTATGTTATTACGCCTTCAATGTTGGGACAACTTGATTGACAAGTTAATAAATTTTTTTTCCATAAAACGATTTAATTTCATGTAAATAAAGAATAATTCCTAGAGAATAAATCCACTACCAAACTCTCCACTTACTGTCACAAAAAGATATCAGTGACGAACAAGTTTACCTAGTTTGGGCCTTTTAAAAACAATTTTACAGCAACTTAAAATATTACTTTACAAACGAAAGGAATGTGGTTCTGACTAAAGTGGATATGTTTGTGAATTGCCTTCTAAAGAGAGAAAGGTTTTCTGTTTGAGTAGAGATGCAGCAGATACATACAGAACTAAATAGGACTTTAAATAACTTTACAGAGCGCCAAACACAGCTTTATTCATTCTGTACTCAGGAAAATGTGTAAGCCAGAGTGTGTAAGACTTGTCTGAGGTACTTGAGCTTTATTTAAGAAACTGCACACACAGTTTAACGGAAGCAACCATTGTGAAAAAAAATCTCACAGCTGATAAACGAAAAGCAATTCAGCCTAGATCTCAAAACTGCTACGCAAGGGATTTAGTCCTAAACCAAATGACCCTGAGAGCATGTTTTATGAGAACACATTAAAAAAGACCAATCAATACAAACAAAACAAAAACCTCTCACTTATTTAATATTTCTAACAAATAGCTCAAAGTAAAGCAGCAAACAAAGCGTACTACTCACTGAGAGTGGACTTTTCATTCTTTCCTCTCTTCATCTCCAACTCACTGCTGGTCCTAAAGTCCACTGTGTCCTAACAAGGACTCTGCTTTTATATGACTCAACCTTTATCATCCCTATTTTTTTTTTTTGTCACTAGATGTCACAATGACACTGACGTCATGTCTCTAAAAATGACCCGCAAATAGAGAGAAGTAAAGAACACACAGTACACACTAAGAGCACAAATAATATAGTAACCTGCCCTTTACCCTTCAATGAATCCCACACCATCACACAAGCAGTAATAAAGTTCACTAAAGAAGAAATGAGAATAATGAAATATTCCAGCATCAGGAATATGTGTTCAGACTTTTCAAAAGTGAAACTATGGCGCTGTGGTTAAACGCACGCGAGACAAAATGTACTTAAGTAAAATATTGTTTTAAGCAGCTCAGCCAGCATGCACACCGACACAGGATGTGTGCTGCAGCCCGGTTAGACAGACCCAGAGAGTGTTTAACGTTGGAGAACACGGCGGGTGTGTCTGTAATGTGATGGTCATGTTTCTGTTTTCTTAAACAGTTACCTTCGAGGAGGTCTCCGTCTTGCTCGGCTTTCATCAGGGCAAGCTGAGGTATCCCTGGGAACTTGAGGGATGAATATCAGCCTCCCTGGAATAAGAAAACAACAATTACATAATGTGAAGGAGCATGAAAGACATGTCTGTCGAGGGTAAAACAGTAATTATCATGCAAGTATTGAGCTAAAAAGATTATAGTTTTGTATAGAAAACTTCATGCTTTCTCACAATAAGCACAAGAAGGAACCTCAACACGAGACATGACTGTGCACATTTTGGTTCCCCCTTTAAAAAAAGATCAAGATTAAAAGTCACAAGTCATAATCATGACTAAGCAACAATCGCAGCATGTGAAAGATCACTGCATTAATGAGAACTTTTACAGGAAACCTTGAGTTGACCACTGGAGCCGGAGTTTCACTTCCACCACATGCATCCTTCCTCTAAACACTCAGCTTCACACACACTCTGTTAGACTGCTACTACTTAATCCACCACCAAAAAGATGAAAACAACTGGATTTTATAAACACCGTGTTCTCTGACACAGACAGGGTAGCACCTCTGAGGGCACATGACTGTGGGATCACATGAGGCAAAAGACGGGCGGAGGCAGCAGCCGGTCAAGGTTTCCATCAGAGCGCTGCTTCTGCTGTCTGATCGTGTGCTTGAAGTAATTAGTATATCCAAGTGATAAGGTCCGTGGTACTTTGCTCAGTAACAATTTACTTATCATTAGAATTTCAGTAATAATATTGGTTACCAGCAAAGTCTAAGTTGTTTCCTGTATTACAACCAAATGACCCAAACACATCCAGTCAGAATGAATCAAACTTTCCACATAACGTGAGCTTTCCTGCTTTGGAAAATGACAGTCGGTAGTTTGTTGTCGTCTCCTAGAGCTTGAACACGCTGCAGTTTTGTGCCCTTTTCCCTCTCCTCTCTGGTATCTACCATACTGCTCCACACTGTTTGTGCTTCTATTCCTGGTAAAAGGCAGCTCGCATTAAACTACGCCAAGAAATGACCAGTTATCCACCCATCTTGAAAATGTGTTCAGACAGAAACATTTTGGTTTCAGGTAAGTGTGTGTGTGTGTGTGTTATTTGCCAGAACTAAAAGGCTCATGTTGACAAGTTGCACAATTGGAGGCAGCTTGCTAAATATTACATCTGAAATGTTTGATTGAAGATTAAAAAACATATTCATGGCCCAGATTTAACCGTACGTTAAGAATCTGAAATTGTCTCGTGCCCGATCTGACTGTTAGACTGTTACTGTAACGTTACTTGACCGCAGGGCACTGCAGTTTTTTGTCATGTGTTCTCATGTGGCCACAGTCAGCAGTCACACACTGAACACACAACAAAGAGCCACCACCCAGTGTTGTTTTATTGTGTAAATGTAGAATAGCTCATGAAGATATGATCAATAACAAACCAGCTGTGATCCTGTGCTACGACATTTTAATTTGGATAGACATTTCTGCAGGCACAGAAATACAGAACAGTTTGCTCCAAAACAATTTCTCAAACTCAGTGAAGTCCAAGCAACTGATCTCCTAAATCTCCAAACAACCTTGTTCTCTCACACACCAACATTAAGCAAATGAATGTCTCATCCCTGTTAAACATACACTTCTATTAATAACAGTTTATCCAGTCAGGCCTCTACCTTACTGCAGGGTTCAACATCAAGAAGTATTTCATCTTTCCCTGTGAGGCTCTGGTTCACTTCCTCTTTATGTAATCTCACTAACCAGGCATCAAAGAACTGTAACATCCTTTTGGAGGATGTGATCTCGCTTTGTTGTTGCTGATCGTAAAGTCAAGTCTCTCACATGTCTCAAAGTGTGTCTGCCTGATGAAGAGCTGCATCCCAAACACAACAGTGCTGTTGATTAAGACGACAAGGGACATTTAAGTTGGCAGGTATTTACTCTGATTGGTTGACTCCCTCTGTCTTAGCACCTGGTTGAAGCTGTAGACGCGCATACTTTTCTGTAAAGTCTATCTGATATCTGATTTGCTCAGCCTACAGTCACAGTGCCAGATCCTTGTCACTCTGTTATGATGAACTACCACATTCTCAGGTTGTGACTATTCCTCCTCCCCACATTCACTCCCCACTGCACTCATTTAACACCAAAGACAAAAAGTATCAAGACAGGAACAATTCTTTTGGCTTTATTTATGTTTAGTCTATTATCGTCGGTGTCTGGGCCACACCAGACAGACTGGTTGGTATTCACTGTACTGGTTCTGGTGTGATCTGGATTCCAGTCCTGGATTATGTAACTGTCTTCTTTTAATGTGTCAGCACTAATCCTGTCACATTTCATGGTCAGCTCCAAGTATGTGGTGAAAGTTTCCCAGTAGCTTAAGAATCCAGTCAAAATGAATCCACATTATTAATATAATATCCTAAACGTTGAACAATAACAGTGTAAAGTTCATTAACATCAACTACATAATTCATCCTGACTTTACCAAATGTTGTAACATTGGATTGACCAAGCTTCTACATCTAAATTAAAACTGGTAAGCATGGTAAAAAAAAAAACAACAAAAAGAAAACACATCACTTAGTCATCCATCCATCTAACTTCCCACAAAGCCTTGACCTCAACACAAACCATAGAGGCCTAATCTGCACCGAACAGCTTTCACTAAAGATCACTAAATCTATGACAACTCCCAAACTGACAAATTATCTCTGACGTTACACCCCTCGAATGATGGCCCTTGCAGGCTTTTATACCCCGACCATCACCCAAAAATCTCAACACAATAATGCCAAAGTAAACACCAAGAAAACTGATTAGACATGTCAAACAAAAACTACCAGCACTAATCATTCTTACTCTTCTCAAATGAAGACTCGGCAGCAGCAACAACAGATCGGACCTTCTTGAACCACGGCCAGACACAAACAGCTGCTATGAAAGTTAAAACAAGAGTCATCTGTCGAACCAGGAAATCAAATTTTCAAAACCGGTCCATCAGCAACACAATTCAAACGCAGTATTTTTCAATGGAAACCATGAATGCCTACTTATGTCCACATATAGCTATGAGCTTGGCCAGCTTACCTTGAGTGATTGCTTTGAAAAGGTCTGATATATAATATATAGTAATATATAGTAATATATAGTAACCAGAATGAGGCTTAAAAGTAAAATCCAATATATGCATTTTATTTAGCATTAATCAAACTTCCCTTTCTTAATGCTCATAAGATAATTTGTCAATTTATCATGGCAGTTCCTTTGTTTACAAATGACTTCACATACTAGAGGTGGACATTAGAAACTCAACACATATTCAAGGTATTTTAGAGGATAATACATGTTTGATACACATTTATTTACTGTAGCACTCAAGAAAAACTATTTAGTTCCTCTGTACGCTGAGTGTTGTATTTAAGAGATCAATACAATAAGTTCTACCTTTAACGTAAACAAGTTGCATTACATTCAGCAACAGACATCAGAGTGACAACTTATATTTGTTTTCCCTTGCATCACAATTCTTGCATTCATTACTTCCCGGCGGTGGTGAATACATTTCAGGAAGTAGCACCATAAACTCAGCTCACAAATGGACAGAGGAGGAAGAATGTATGTAATTTAAGCTGTAAGTTAGTTGTGTACATACTCAGGTAGAGTAGAGGGTTTCCAGCTCAATAATAACTGTAAGGTGCATTAAGACACTTATAAGAACAGCATGTACTCCTTCATAATAACAACGTCCTGTAACCATCAATGTCAATGGGTCAAATCCATTAAGTGACACCTGGTGACAATTCAGCATGATGCTCCAGCTCTGATACATTAATGTTACCTTTCACTTACTGGAGCAAATGTAAAAGGCTGCATTTGAACGAACTACATACGAAATAAACCAAGTGTCCCCGCTAATAAATCATATAGACATGTGAACAAGAGCTACCTTTGACTATCACCTTCAAGCCCTCCTATAAACCCGATAATATAAGCCCGAGTGACACCGGTAACCCCAACGCTGTCAATGTGAGTTACTATGTGTGATGAAGCTAACACGTTTCCATCATGTATTAGCTTGTCTGGTTGGGAGTGCAAACGTTACCACAGTATTAAAACCCCCTTACCTGGGTACACTTTAGGAAGGTAGAATGATGGGTAGTGTTTTGATGAGTAAAGCTGCTTTAAGCCGACACCATAGGTATAATGTGAAGGTGGTTAAGACGCACGTTACCAAGCTAAATTCCGGTGGTCGTATTTTTCCATGTCAACTCTTAAGTTCACGCCCCAGTGCGCATGTGCGACAAATACAGCACGGCTCTGATTGGTCAATGGGTGGGACATGCGCAGTGGCGTGTGGCGCCCTGGGTTTAGCCTGTCAGGAGCTGCTGCAGGTTATTCAGTGTTTCTTCTTATTATATCTAATATA